TTTATATAGAAATGGTGGGTGGTAGAGGTAAGGATGGGTGTCTCAGAAGTAGGCGCCTCGGCAACAGCATGTCATTAATGTAGGCAGCAGACAGACAGACGGGCAGCTGTCGTGTCGTTTAAACGCGGAGCAGTCGCCTGCACCAGGAAGCGACGCGGGCGACACTTTCTCATCCGGCGCGCCGCTTCAATGCTAGCACCAGTGAGCGGCCGCGTCCGCTCTGACCGGGTCTGAATGCGGGTACTGACGCTCTGGAGCGTGATGAGAACATCACTACTACTGTTACACCCACAACACCTGGTGCTACACATACTGGACCAATTACTAGAGCTCGTGCATGTTTGTAGCCGGATCGTCAAAGTCGACTCCACCAAGTTAATAGTTACCATCTCATCGAAAGATCAGAACCCTCGCCTCTATTAGAGCGGCGCTAACCGTTTCAGACAGAAAGTGCGCGTGGACGAGGAAGGTGGTTTAGGTGGGCCAGTGTGGTCAAAAGCGAGCTTAGATGTTATTCGGACGCCCGCAAAGGCTCCCACATTTGTCTTTAATTTATAAGAGAAAATACGTCCGGACCAAGCCATGAACTGATACACGACCGCGCTGAATGTATTTCGCTCTCCGGATGGAAGCAGGCGGTTCGAGGGTTGGAGATGCGTAAACAGTGAAAATAACTACAGGAAAAAGATAGACGTAACATCCATAAGCAGGAACATTCAATATTTTTCCCTTAAAATGCTAGTGCTAGTACAGGGTCGCTGGACCAACTCTCTCCCTGGGAGATATGAGAAACCGTGAACCCGCTGAACACCCAAGCTACAGCCAACGTAACCTGCGAGAGCCTGCACAAGTTCCAAACTGGCAGAGTCATCATGCTTGTCACATCCGAAGAAACTTGAATACACCCTGAGCACGAATGCACGATTGTTGCTACTAGGAGTACATCAACAACCACTCATGAATATAAAGCATGATTGTAGTAGTAGGAGTAATAAAAGGTGGAAATAATGCGTTACCTAGAAAAGAAATGGAAAGTCGATCGGGACCGAAGGAGGAAAAGCTGCATTCATCATGAATTCGAGAAAAATTTGCAAGTCGAGTCGATATCAGAAAAACCTTCTTTCCTCTTCTTTTTCGCCCGGTCTGATTTGGACTCGCTGAGAAAAAGCTCGGCAAGGTCCACATCTCGTCCGTGCGTATACAATGTATGTGCCAATCACATCCGGGTACCCGCGCAGTCTCTCGAATCTTGTGGCCACAACAGCAAAGAGCATCTAGAACCGGACACTCCACATCCGTATCAAATGTCCGAACAGTCCGTCCGGTCGCTTCCCGATCAGAAATTTGCCACGCAGCTGGACCCGGCGAACGGAGCCCAAACTTCTGGATATCCAGTGCCACCCACACTCAGAGCCTGTTCTAATTCTCTCCAGCTTCACAGAACTCCATATATTCAACTTCTTCTCCTCGCTTCTAACTTCACATAGCGATCCCAGGAGTGTTCGGCTCCATCCACAGCTTCTCCCACAGCTGCAGCCCGGTTGGGAGGGCTCTGGCCTGTTAGGAATAGGTTGGGCCGGGTGGATCCAGCCCAATTAGGAGGGGTACTCGTTCGAGCGAGGCTGAGCGTAACGATTCGAGCTGCTCGTTTTCTTTTCGAGTGGAGAGGCAGTGAAGCGGTATCTTTGACGGTGGCAGTTGGGTGTAAATTGATCGAACTCCACGCTTCGCATTTTGGTGGAGCTGGGCCGACCTTGCTTCTCCTTTTTACACTAGGGGATGGTTTAGCTTCTCAGATCTAGCTTCTCACAGCTTATGCGTTCGGGTCAGCTTCTCGTGTGAAGTTTGCAGAGTTGAGAGCTGGAGAGAATCAGAACATGCCCTCAGTCTATATGTAGGGCGGATACGGTGAGGCCCGGACACACCTGATCATGTTCGTCATGTAGGTTGTGCCCCGCTATGGCCTGCCACGACTCCTCAGATACTCCACCATCGGACGAAACCCTAGTCAAAGTTCACACTTGAGACTGCTTTGCTTCACCTTCAGTCTTCTCCCCTTCGGCCCCCTCCCTTCCATTCACGTCCTCTTCCATCCACCATGGCCCGCTTCGGCAGCTCCTTCGCAATGAGTCCAATCCTATCAACTGGGACCGGCTCTTGAAGGAGGACGGCTACAACACTAGATGGCGAGGAGCTTCTGCACTGCATTGCCATCGAGCGTTCGCAGGTGAACACCGGAGGGAGCTTGATCTCCGTGCCATCCCCGATGGCCCGGCGACACACTATGGTCGAGCGTGGCGGCCCGTTGCGCTCCACGCTTATCCAGATCCATCGCCAGGCGCGCTACTCCCCTTCCCCTCTGACCCCAACTCCTCTTGGGTAGTGTTGGGTGCTCGTATCCGGTCCACACATGTCAACTAGGAGGAACAGCTCCTCCGTGATGTTCTCCGTCGGCCGTTGACCACGGGGGAGACGAACGCGAAGGCGCTCCAGCTCGACACTGAAGTGTCCTAGCGCCTTGTGATGCAGAAGGAGATCGCCGGGGCCAAGGCGCCGTGACACGCGAAGGAGCTCCGGCTCGGCACCGAAGTGTCGGAGTGCCTCATGATGTAGAAGGAAATCTCCAAGGCCAAGGCGTCGCGACACGCGAAGGTGCTCCGGCTCGGCACCGAAGTGTCGGAGTGCCTCGTGATACGGAAGGAGATTGCCTAGACCAAGGCGTCGCGACACGCGAAGGAGCTCCGGCTTGGCACCGAAGTGTCGGAGTGCCTCATGATGCAGAAGAAGATCGTCAAGGCCAAAGCGCCGCGACACACGAAGGAGCATGCATGCACCGTCCGACGTCTCGCCGGCATCATCTCATCATCGTCCAACAGCGGCACAACTAGCACGGACTACGATACACCTCCCGCCGTGGACGCCTACACGGAGGACTACTACCGCCGCCCCGGAAGGGGAAAGGCCCGGCGAGGAAATAGCCATGTTCGTCACCCCGCTCCGCTGGTCTAGTTTAGTTTCTACCAAGTTTAACTGTTCGGTGATGAATTATGTCCTATGAACACTGTCCGATGATCTTTGTTTTTGGGTCAGAAATATGTGTAGGTTTGATTGAGGTTGTGTTGCTTATTTACATAGTTGCGTAGATTGTATGGATTTAAAAAACATGTGGGCGAGGACAAATGAGTGGTAACCGGTCACTGTCCGCGGACGTACAATGGCCCACGTTTGGCAATCCTGGTTGTAGACGCTCCAAGCAGGAAGCAATGATCAGTACTCGTCCGGATTTCAGCTTGCAACGCAAAAGAATCTATAGAACCTAACACTTGTAAAAGTTGCACAAAAGCATATCACCATACAATCTCTCCGAGCTTGTACTTGTAGCTAGGGCAAGCAAAGTTACCAATTTTTTTTTTTTTTTTGCGGGTTGGCAGACAAACTTACTCATCTTTATGGTAGGGCAAACTGCTTTGTTTCTTTCTTTGCGGGTTGGCAAACAAACTTACTCATCTTTGTGCTAGGGCAAATTACCTCGGTTGAGCCATAGCAAAAGCAGTGGCAACCTCCCCCAGCAGATCTGACGAGAAGAGAGGAGCCTAGAACGCACTAGCCGCTGGCGCCCGAAGATTCCCGAGAGTCTTACATGCAAGGACAGGGCCATTTGCATGCAAGGACAACAATTTCGTGTTTCCCCGGGGACCCGCGCCTGCTCTCGGGACTGGATCGCACTGACAACGCACGAGCTCGGAGCGGTGCCTCCTCGCCCGCCGCTGACACCACACCACATGGCGTGTTGTGCAGCGAGTCCATGGACCGCGTCCATGCTCCATGGGGAAGGACGTGTGCGTGTGCGTGTGTGTGAGGCGTTTCCAGGAGCGTCTGCCACGACCGGGCGGCGGTTGGCCACGTGACGGCGCCCACGAGCACCACGGAGCAGAGAGCGCCACTTGGGGAGGAGGAGCTGGGGCACGCCCCGCCGTGGGACCGTGGG